CCAGCATGTGTTGTTCAGACTGAAGATGTCCGCCTCCCAATTTGGGTTGATCTTCGCCCCTTCCAAATGCGAGCTCCTGTTACAGGACTGGCCAAGTGCATCTCCTCTCACCCTTTCGGGGCATTCGCTGGAAGTGGTCGAAAATTCAGTTACCATGGGAGTTGTCTTAGTATTGGCGATCTGACGGATGAGATCTCCCTGCGTGTCTCCAAGGCGAGAGTCGCTTTCGCTAATCTTCATGTGGCTTCATCGTGACTTCAGCCTCACTCACAAGAGACGAGTCTACAATGCTACGATAGGAGCGATTCTGTTGTAAGGCTGCGAGTGAGAATGAACGAGACGCTTTCCAAGCCAGTGCTCATGACAACCGGTGTTCTACAGGGATCAGTCTTTGGACCCGAACTGTTCAAGCCGTAGATCAATGATCATTTTGAAACACTCCAAACCGAATGCTTGATCTATGCTGAGGATCTCAAGCTGTAGTTTGAAGTGCTTGACATTGACGCCACCGAGCAACTACAGGTGACCCCTGATTTATTGCATAACTGGTCCATCAAGTGGGGCCTACCAATAAACTACGAAAAATGCTGCGCCATACCGATCGGCGCTTCTGAGCCACTTGGAAATTACCACATTGAGGGCCTCCTACTCAAACACGCAACTCAAGAGAAGGAACTAGGCGTAATAATAACGATTGACCTGGAAACCACACAGGATACACTGGAAAAGGTCGCCGTTGCAGTTTCGTCAGTCGTAAAGTCGTCTGACTGTAGTGCAGAGAACATTTCGATGCGCACTACTTGTTGGTCGAAGATGCTGACCATCTCTGCTGCCAACGAAGCAACCCTTTCTGACGACTTGTTGGTTACTGCTCAATGCGACACAAGGTCAACGGCCTCTGCTCCCGTGAGCCAAAAGTAGGAAGGGAATAAATCTGCCTATAAAAGGTTGGAAGGCTTTGAAGACCCATGAAATAATAAGACGCCGGCAACAGAGTGGAGAAACCGCTACCGTTGCTTTGAGATCGTTTGAAAAGACAGGGACAGTCCCACCGCCAGTGGTGAAAACATCTGGTGTAAGTTTCGAGTCCAAGACAAATGGGGTAAACACTCCTCGTCGTGGCGACTCGCGGATAGTAGCGTTATATTTTGTAACGTTAGTGATCCTGACCTCCCCAGGGAACACATTTTGGATGACATCAAGTGGCTCAAACTGTGTCACCAAGTTGCTTCCACCTGGCTTCCCTGGTGTCCCGGTCAGAAAGTTGACTAGATTGGGGAATGTCCTTATCGGTACGGCAAATCCGCGACCCCTTTCTACTTCTACTCCGGAGGAACACAAATCAGTACTCCAGTTTGCATTCAAACTGTCAGTGTTCAGCCAGACCATCTACTGGCAGATAGATTGAAGTTGGAGGCTATCAAGGATCTCAAAAATAGGCGGGCGACTGGTGAGCAAGGCCACCGTCGTGGGTTTTCAGGTGGTCAGCCAGAAGTAATTTTCCGCCGTATCAGAACCCATCCTGATGGCGCACGACCCAGGGATGATGGTGCCGACTTCCTTGAGATTGTACTTAGTAACGGGCGTAGCCTAAGGAACAAGGTGCACAAGCTGGATCTGCTTGTAGACAAATCTCGTCCCGACATACTTGCTTTCACTGAAACGTGGTTGTCTCCGGATATCACGGATGGTGTGGTATGTTTACCTGGCTACGCAGTGTTTAATACTGATGGCTCCGTTGGTCGTCAAGTTATGAGCTGTAACTTAGATGTGTTGAGGACCTGCACATTTCAGTCCTCGGATCAGACTGTTGAAGCCCTATCGGCCGTTATGTGCACTTTCTGTACCCAGCTTACAGTTGTAGTGGTCCTGGAAGTTCCTCCAGGGGGAGAATTGGCTTTATTCGCACTCAGCCTATGAATAAGTGCTTAGTTCTAGGGGATTTCAAACTTCCGTAAGTCTGTTGGGCCGATCTTTCGTGCAGTTCGGCGTCAGGAAGATTAGGCGCAGACATTCGTGAGCCGACTCTCCAAGTGCCTTTGCACCAGTTCGTGGATTTCCACACTAAGTAGATGGACAACCAAATACACCCCACTTTAGATCTGTTTTTCGCTGTCCCTCGATTTCGTAACTGACGTTTCGTAGGGTGCGCTTCTAGGGTCCAGCCATCACGCACGCATATCCATTCGGTGTGCTCTTTCAAGGCAGCAACAGACTGCCGATGAATTACTTCCGAATATTTAGCGGGAGGACTTTAGTGCAATGAAAGCTAAGGCTTCAATTCTGAACTGTGAGATCTCAATGGCAGACGCTGTCCAGTTAGCCTGCGATAAATTTAAGGCATACCTTACGGTTTTCACTCCCTATATTCCACTCATGAGGAAAAGAGGGTTACGGGCAGTCTCGATGGATAGATACCAAAGGCAAGTATCTAAAGAAATGGTCTAGCTGCTGGGGAACCTATCAGGCAGCTCCATCAGCTAGTAACTACGACAGTTATCGAGAGATTAGGAATAGGTATAAACAACATCTCAGGACTGCTTGTCTCCAATATCAGCACGGTTTAGCGGACTCGGCCGTAGCTAACCCCAAGAAGTTTGTTGCTTACGTTAAAAGACGCAGCGGCGCAAAACTGTCTAAACCAGCGTTATTGCGAGCAGACAGTACCCGTGCGCAAACTGACTATGACAAGGCTTGTATACCTAGTGAACAATATACTGGCGGTCTTTGCTCGGAGACCTCTTTACCACAGGTTGAATTGGTTTCAAGAGTCCCAGAGGATTCTTGCTTAACTGAATGTAACACAACCGAGACTCAGGTATTTCAATTATCGATTAACCCCTCTAAAGTTTCCGGTCCTGATTCAATTCATCCGAAGCTGTTGCATGAATTGACCGTTGAGCTGAGTGGTTCTCTCATATGCGTGCCTTCAATATCGCCTGACAGCGACGTCTTACCTTCGAAATGGAAGGAGGCAATCATCTGTCCGATTTTTAAAGGCGGTGACAGCGCTCTACCCGCGAACTACCGGTCTGTGTTTGGCAAGCGTAGTAGTCAAGTTGTTTGAAAAGCTAATCTGGGATTCGATGGAGAACCACGTGCATAGATTAATCCTGTGTTGCGCAACATGGATTCCACAAGGAATTTTCGTGTCAGACTAATCTAGTTGTAACTCGTGAAAGCTGGGCTGAGGCGGTAGACAATGACTACTCTGTAGACTTTTTGAAAGCTTTTGACACTGATCCTCATGTTAGACTCTCAGTAAAGTTAAGATCTTACGGGATATCTAGTCGCACCATTAAATGGGTGTCTGCTTTCCTGGAGGGGAGGGCACAGTGTGTACGCGTGGGGCGTAACCTTTCGATTAGGCAAGTTGTTCTTAGTGACGTTCCGCAGGGCTCGGTATTGGGGCCATCGTTTTTCGCGATCTATGTAAATGGTTCGTTGGGGAGCTGGGAGTGTCATCACTAATGTTTGCTGACGACCGTAAGGTCTGAAATAGTGTGGATGTCCCGGGGGGTTCTGAGCAATTCATGTGCCTTGGATAAGCTCGAGAAATGGTCTACCTTATGGTTGATTCCCATAAATAGGGTCAAGTGCACTGTCTTCCGAATCGGAGTTACTAGTCCTCCCATCCGATATGTTGTCGGCGGTGGGGAAATCCCTGTTGTTACTCCGCAAGTTGATTTAGGTGTCGTGCACTTATCAGCTCTTCACTCTGCCAACAACTGGAAGACTACTTGTCGATGGTTTCGTATGATGTGGTTTATCCGCCGCTCTTTCGGAGTCTTAGTCAAAATGTTTGTGAAGCTAATCTCAGGATTCGTCCGACCCCACTTGGAATATTGTTTTCAGGCCTGCCCACCATGTCTTAGCCGAGACAAAATGGACTTGGTGAGGGTGTTCCGAGTGGGTACCAGGTTAGTGGTCTACGGTGACAGACGTATACTGAACGCTTGCTTAGTTTGGGGATGTACTCTAGAAGGATAAGAGGGGACTTGATTCTCACTTATCGTATTTTGACGTCAGGGCTATTTAGTTTCGCTAAGTTATCTAATGTCCGCGGTCACTCATTGGAGCTGTGATTGGATTAGTAAGGAAACTCGTCTGTCGCGCCGAGCTATAGTGCGCTGGAATTCGATTCCAGATCATGTGGTTAGAGTATTTACGGTTGAGGGTTTTGCGCGTCAGTTCGATGCTCCAGGGTGGCAACAACAAACCCTTTCTTTCTCCTATTTGATTCACCTTCAGTTCTGTTTTTAATGATTCAAATATCTTGGTATTCTACTTGTTTAGCCCTTTCCTCCTTCTCTTTTTACCCTCCGAGTTTACTTTCTTCTCTTTCATTCTTCTCATTACCGGCCCAGCGGGGACTGCTAGGTCAGGACATGTGGACAATAATTGGTTGGACAGTGTGAAGTGGTCTTTCGTTTTAGATCCACCTGTATTTCAAAGTCCGCCAACTCCTGGTTCAACGACCCGCTGAAAAATGAACACTCTCGGTATAATCCTATCGTTCCAGTCCCACTCGAACTAGTATTTGAACACCCTACTGTCACCTACAACTCAATGAATGAATGACCAAAGCAGGTTGTTTATTTCCTATCCCAGTTGAATTTGAAAGAAAGTGCAGCTTACAGATCAGAACAACAGTAGGGTTTAATAAAATTTGGAACCGGGAAGCATGTATATGTCTGCGGTAAATAGACACTAGTACTGCGCGATGAAAATAGGGTGGGAATATTGAGGCATTTCCAGATCCCTATATTAGTAACACGCGGTAACAATAAATAACAATGTCATCTGTACGATGTAACGGCGCTTTGCTGCCGCGCGATCACCACCAGTCGCACGCGGGCTGAGTATACTGCGAGGACACAGCCCTACGCGGATTCGAAACGGTGACCTTATGTTTGCAAACCAAGCGCGCACACCACTCGGCTACCGGCCGACAGTAACCCGCTGTGGCTCATATAAGTCAAAAATTATGGTAAGCATACCTCAAGTTTCTGAATGGACAGAGGCCCACAGCTTTCTTCTTCGTGTATTTCATCCGCAGCAGCTAGAGGAGTGCGTTCAACTTGCGCAGACATATCGTAAAGGCCGCGTAGTGCGGAACAGTCTAGGCTCGATGCAGTACAACGCCGGACACTAAAAGCAGACAGGTGAAGTCAGGTCATCTCACAAGTACCGTGCAGACTTCCGCACACTCGCGGATAACTAATTTCACTTCTTACTAAATAAAGCAAATAGTAGGTGGTAGATAGATGCAAATTTACGCGTAAGAACCCGGATCGGAGCTACAGTCCTATCAACACTGTCACGGCAGTGGACACTTCTTCTACCTGCTCTGGCGAGCAAATTAAGGAGAAAATCGCAATGAATGTGTTTACTACGTAAGCAGCGCGTGTGGAAACCGATAGAAACAATAAAACAATGAGCAAATGGGAAATTTGTGCAACGGTTGTTTTAATTGTCGAATTTCGAACCCATATGTTTGGGAGCGCCCTTCGGTGCTCCGTCATACCTGCCAGCGTTATGGAGGCTACGCGCATTACGGTCGGCGGGAGTAAGGCTGTGACGTACTCAGACGCGGCTTGCGGCTGCAATAGCTCAAGGACAGCAACACGACGTTTGGTGGACGATGATCGGTTACTCAAGCAGCTAATAAAGCTGGGATATGAAACAACTGAAGGGTTCCGTGTAAACTCTTGGCATTTCAACATCAATCATGCACTGCAGTTTCGTGTACAATTCGGAACCTGCCGGTCCATGCCGCCGAATCGGTGGTATTGTACTTCCGAAAGGGAAGCATATTTGTACGTGAAGTACGTATGTGTTCATGTATACCGGAAACGTGATGAATGCCGCCGGTAAATGAGTTTTATCTATTCTGCTAACGTTGCCCATTTTGTTACAGGGACTGCAATTGCGGCACTCATGTGACGTGTCCTTCTGTCGATGCTTCATATAAGGTAACGAGTTACTCTATAATACATAGCCATGAGTTTCACTTGGGAAAACCAGTTATACATGCGTACCCGCAGGCGGACACAAGGGGATGAGGAGCAGATCTTCGAGCTCATGCAGTCTTTTAAGAACATGTATAAGTAAGAGCTTTTGCGTTCGTTACCTTCCATGTGCGTTTGGAACTTGCCCACGTCAGATCCCTGTGTAACCGGCAAGCTATAAGGGAGGGTGGGAACAAATCCGTTTGAGTGAGGAGGCTGCTGCGGGGTGAAGGGATATGCGACATAGTGGACAACGAAGGTATCTTACAGTACTTTGTATAGTGCGAAGAGTTAACCCATTATATACTCCCTTCTGCCATGTCATTTTGGCAGACGCCAAACATCAGTACAACCAATGTTCTAATGTTTTTGGGATGCAAGTCTGGTAGCAAAAACCGGCTTCTCCCGTAGTTTTTTCTATGAGCTCATGATTAACGAAAGTGGGCTTAGTTACCATGTTCCATTGTTCCATTGATACGGTGCAGAGAATGGTGGAGCACTTACCAAGAACGCTTTCAGCTACTACGCCGTTGTTGAGATCGTTGCTTAGAGTAAATGAATTTTTCTAATTATACGTCCCAAGGGCGTATTTAATGTTTGGCGCTTCCATGTACTAAGGGACATGGGAAAACGCTGCGCTCATTTAAAAGGTTGCAACGCTATGGACCATAGCAAAGTTGACATAGATGCGTACTTTGGTGCATACATTAAGCCACCCGGGATTCAACAAATTACTTTATGCTATCGCTGCTCGGAGCCAGGCGTTTAGATATCGTACTACACGTGGCTTCACTACACGGAAAATTGAGCAGCACACATTCTATAGCGCGTAATAAATTTGGGTAATTTCACCGCCAAGGTACTAGAGGTAGAGAACAGGCAAGTTAAACACGCACTTTCCCGTAGAGCAAGTGTCCTGCAATTGTTTAAGCATGTGTTTCGACGCAATCTTGAGTTAGACCAGGCAAGGGCAAACCGCCTAGTGTAAGCTTACATAAGTGCCATCCAAACCCCCTCACATGCGCGCTGGTTAACGGATGTTTTGCGTTCCCTGGGGGCATATCTTCATAAAGTGTTGCTGAATCACTTATCAGGAAACAAGTTGGCAGGCATGCGCTATGTCCTGGTGTTCTGGAATGTTTCCACTGCCCGTGGGCGTTTCCAACTTACTTTAGCACTTGCGCGCTCTGAAGCATCTCGCCGCGAGTCTTTGTTGAAGACCTGCTTTAAAACTAATGAGTAAGGATTCCATCACCGGACAACTCTTGACCATGGAGGGGATGGCGCACACTGTATGTCGTTGTGTGCAAATGCGGAGGCGTGCGGATGTCTCCCTGGATAAACAGGCGGCGGATGAAGCTATTGCTGTTCGTTGTGACTGTCAACATCACAGAATGCGTGGCCAGAAACGCTGTCCGAACGGAAGCAGAATCTGGCTGGTTAGGAAGTGGAGGTTGAGGATATGGAAATCTTGGGCGCTCCCTTACAATATACGAATTTTCGACAAGTGCGAAATGCCGCTGCAGCGGCATACTGCTTGAAGCAAAAGCGTCGGATGTCTGCGCAGGTATCGTCTTATTGGAATGCTTGTGCCCTTTGCGGTAACGAGCAACAGGATTCCGTGGAGTTGAAGTCGGTTCATTTCAGCGAATGTCAGGACTGGTACCATAAAACATGCGCGGACCGCCGGGATGCAACTGAGACTTACCGCTGTGTAGACTGCCAGCGAATCATGAAGGAGGACTGAGCGGGCCAAGAATGCTAAGGTAAGCGGACGTTAGGAAACCATGCGCACAGTCAAATATTTTGCAAGCCCGAAAAAGCAAAACGTTTGGAAACCTAGGTTTTAAAAAACAGAAAACAAAAGCTTTGTTAACCGGAATGTGTAATACTCTACGTATGTCTGCATGATGGTGCTCCCTTATGGGTCAGCCTTTCGTGCCGTTATGCACCGCATTCGATACATGATGATAACCGCCGCTGTTTTCTTTCTTATTCAGGATACGAACCAGAGAGATGGCATACCTTTGGATGAAAATGTTGTCGCTTGGAAGCTGCCGGCGTTAACCTTTTTGGCACTGTAAGGGAGGCCACGCGTGGAAGGACGCCAGGATCCGTTCACCTGTTGCTCACCCAGCAGCTGTATCAGGTTTCACCACCTGGTTTTGCAGAAGCCTGGCCCGCGACGAACCGTCCTCAGTTAAATCGATGGGTCACAGCGATCACTCCGTAGATGCGACCGCTCACTGACCCGGAACTACCGTTTTTATCGGTTGCCTGATGTGCAAACTATGATATAACCTTATCCTACGTTGTACTTTAGGGTGCTAAAACCTTTGCTTGGTGGAATTTTGCTTTCATTTGCTTGCGCCCATGCAGCAGTAGCACATGCAACCTGTTGCCCCTGCTTCCGCACGGATCGTTAAACGGAACCATCGTGCACTTCCTCATCTCCCATTGCTAAGTCTCTTTTCTTGCCATTCAAATAGCGGGACTGTGCGTTTCCGCAATGCACATGTAGCCCGTTCCCTTAAGTTACCCTATCACAACATTTTTGGGCTTCAGCTAATGACGTTTGCCGGCCGTCATCTGCATCTACCGGTAGAAAATCGCCCGCGCCTAACTGCTGGTCTAACCTCTTCCACCAAATCAGATGGTAGGCAATGTGCAACCGTTAGTAACGTAGCTGCCGCGACCATGTGGTCAAGATGTGTTAAGCAAACATAGGGATGTATGTACTTGAAGCACGGCGGTTTGGTTTTGTCACTTAACAGGGCCTAACTGCCGTGCAAAACGAAACCGTAGCCTCACTGACATTATCTTTCGAAAGCGAGTTTCAGTGCTCGATAACTACATCATAACTCTGAGCCAGTTTGAACGCGGCTCGTGTTCCTTCATAAATAAATAAATAAATATTTTATTCTCGACAAAGCGAGACACGCCTTTTGGGCATGATCAGCATATTGCATTATTGTACATGATAGCGGAATAAGCAGCACCAACAGTGGGAGTAGTATAGTTGGAAACAGTAGTGTGGGCCCATAGAGCCCAAATGTTGTATGTAGTCTATGTACACAGAATGCGAGGGGTAAAGATAGTAATCAGATCACTTATATGGTATGTTGATGAGGAACTAGTCCGATGAGGTCCCGTAAGCAATGTAAGTCAGTGAGTGAAGTATGAGGAAACGGGTGAAAAATACTTAAGAATAGTGGTATGTCACTAATCAGATATGTAGGCGTGTTCGTGCGAGAGCCGATATATACACAGAACTTGTAAATATGGTGTCGGTCAACTTGCCAATGTTAGGGGCGGTGACTTTATTGAGTGGCTAGTCACATCCGCCACGTCGCAATGTTGTTAAACAGACATTTGTGGCTTTTTGTAGGGAAAACGCTTGCCAGGCGAAGACCCACCACGTCCTGGAACACTGCCGGCTGTTGATATAACATTGGCAAGATTGTACCTGGCCGATTACCCTCGCGGATATTCGCAGTCACGTAACGCCAATTTGTTTCCTTTGACTGTGTAGTCGCCTTCGGAGTCCAGTACAAGTGGTTGGAGCTGTTGAAGTCGGACGACTCAGGTGACTTGTATTGAATTGATCAGTTTCCTAGGTTCTTTAGTGTGTCATGATTATGAAGTGCGGGTTTTTTCTTTGTTCTTTATTGAATCCGTGCCCATGGGAGCGTCGCAGGTACGTCTTCAGCGGTGTTCGGTGCAGGTAATGTTATCCTGTAGAACAAGGGTGAGAAGAAAAACGGATGACTACGAAGACAATACCCCGTGCCCGGCTGAATAGCCAGCTCACATGTGGTCCTACGCCCTAAGTTCAAATGCGATGGTTGAGGATCCATAGGTTTAGGTCAGCCGTAAACTATAGGGATGCTGCATAAAGATCAGCTGGGTGAACATGTACGCTTATGGAGAAATGCATCGGTCCGGGTACGGAAGCTCAGCACAAGCTTACCTGGAGCTGGGGGAAGTTAAGCACAAGTTGACGTTTCCAGCTAAGGCACTTGCATATTGAGTGTCCTCTAATCTCTCTCGCGATATGTTAACTTCAAGCGCCTTGCTCCGCGGCGACGTCAAACCTTGTATACGATTGTAACCTTAAAGAGATCGCACCTGTGAGGTCTTCATTTTACTTTCGTGATGGTAGCAC